CAGTGGTAGAATACACAAACAGATAAAGAAAGAAAAGAAAAATAGTTTAAAAGCAGAAGAAGAGAAAGGAGAGGAAGAAGGAGAGATAGTAGTCCAGTATAGAAAAGAAAATGCTAGGTATGATCTGTGACGACAGATAATAAGAAATATAGATAAATCTTATGTATGATGTTTATCACCTCTTATAATATTATTACAAAAATTATGTTAACATTTTGAAAATTTTCGGAAAAATTTGTTATAATTTTAGATTGTGGATCTATAAAATATTTCGTTTCTTAACTACTGAGGATGATATGTTAACATATCGAAACGTTTAGTTAATTATATTACTTAATTAATATAATAAAATACGAAGAGAAAAGTTCAAACTTTTTTAACTTAAATATATATAAGAGACAAACCAGAGCTTTTATAGCCTGAATTTGGTGTACTTCATGCAATTCACGCATAAATTCGCTGAAACAAATGGTAAAAGCTGATGAAAAACGTGAACCACTCAGACGTGTTACAATCTATAAATCATAGAAACGCACTTCTGCAGGTACGCATGTTTGTATAACAAGACATCTTGTGTCGCTGATTAATGCTGTTGATGTTATTTCTATTGCATTCGTGTGATAAGGAATTGTTACTTTCAACTGACCACTTGAATCAATTAGATAGAATTTTTTGACTATCCATGGAATAATTAACAATTGTTGGCCAGGGAGTGAAAGGAGTTTCCAACAGTCTTGACAAAGGTCAACAATTTGCACATATCCGAGGAATTACGTAACTCAAATAAACATTTGTTTACCTTCACTTAAAATAACACCTACACATGTTCCATTGCTGTTGAATCGAATATCACGAATAGTTTGGTTTTCTTTACAAGCGATGGGTTTTCTGTATGCTTTAATTAACTTCCAGTCAGTCATTCTATAAACCGCAGTTATTGATGATGAGAAATATCTTGTGAGCAACGTATCTTCAAAGCAAGTACAACTAAGCATCTTGTCATCAAACTTTAGAACAAGTTACCACTCTTACCACTGATATCGAGTGAGTAAAACTTTTGCTCGTAATAATTTAGAATCAAAAAGTGATTTTGAATGAAGGACCAACACATATCTTGTACAGGAAAATCTTGTTTCACCGCTGATATTTCATTTCCTTGTGCATCACTAACACAGAGACGATCTCTGGTACAATGAAGTATATATCTGTCATTTGCAGCTATAGTAGAATCACCACGATCAGCACATGGCCTTGGTACTGTTGCAATTGATCGAAATTCAGGGTTTTACTCGAAGAAACGGCCGGCAATGAATACATATTCAATGAACCACCGCTCGTTGATGTAAAGAGGGGGTCTAGAAAAGAAAGCAAATCGGCTGCCGGTCTTATCCAATTGTTTGAAGGCAGAAACCATACCAACGTGTAGTTTTTGATGCGAAGTTTAAGGGTACGCCTCCCCCCTCTCTTTTTTGAGTATTGCGGTGTGTGGAACGAGAAAGTCGTAGAGACTTGAAATTTTTACCAGGTGATGATCTCCCATATATCTCTAGACCTTTTTGGAATTTTGAAATTTGGACTTGTTTTCGAGGAGTTTTGGGGAATAGTGTCCAGTACATATGCTAAAAATTCCAGCTAGATCGGATGAAATTTTGAGGGGGTCGTAGTATACCGCCAGTTTGACCGGTGGAGTGTTGAGTTATGGAAATGTGTAAAAATGGCACCAAAAAAGTGGTGCTTTTCGTAGAATGACTGTAACTCAGCCAAAAATGGCCAATCACTGCGAGAAAAGTCTTATTTTGAAGAAGACACCTTGGACTAGACGGCTGCCGTCTCAAAAAAAATTTTCATTTTGTCTGAAGGGGAGAAAAATCTTTAAAGTAAACTTTTAAAATGGTTTAAAAAATAATTTTTCTCAAAAACTTCATAGCTTTTGAAGGAAAGGTCGTGGAAGGCTGGGAGTGGTCTCATTTTGCAGAGAATTTTGTCATCCACAGGGTGGTGTGTTTAACTCAAAATTGAACTTTTTAATAAAAAAAGAGAGGCGGTACCCCTTAAAGATAATGAAAGGAAGGTCTGATATCAGACCTTTGCAATATGCGTACGAAGCCAACGAAAAATATGCGCATCATACTGAGTAAAAAAATACACACCATGCCGACAAAAAGAACACGTACACTGCTGACGTTTAGATTTCTGACGAAATGACGAATTATATATATTACGTTGGGGAGGAGTTCCATCTTTAGACCTTTAGGTCTATGCTGACAAGCTGTTTAGTCAGCTGTTGGGTCGGCCAAAACAACTCAGTCGGTTTAGCCTAAATCTCGCACTTACTCGGGCCTGGCCTAATAGGCAGGCTAGAGCGCTTCGCATACCTAAGTATAGCTACTGTGATCTGGATGGTAGCGCCCGTATCTCGCGTTGCTCGTCACTGGCGCGGTCGAGGCCACCTAAATGTTGTAGAGCGGCTACGCTGACTTCCGACGTTCAACTCTCAATTTGAAAAATCATAACATATAAGCAGAGGATTAATACTGCTCACAAAAGATGAAAGCGCCCCTAGTAGTTATGCATAGTTTCTCTAAATGATTTTTTTCTCGGATAATGCAAAACATTTGCGAAATATTATTGACTGAAACCCTGACTTTGTTTTTCAGAAAGTAGAAATACTTGATGAAATTCAACTACGCCGAATAAAATACAGAAAACTTAAATCTTTTACTTGCTTCGAGTTATTGTATTGCTCCAAACTTCGCTCCGATTGGAGACGAGTCTTAGAGACAGGTCGATTCCCTGTGCATATCGAGAGGGAACATACAGCTCTTGTGATCTGGACGGTGGCGTCTGCGTCTCGCGTTTCCGCGGTTGGGAGCGTCTAAATGTTGTGGAGGGGCTACAGTCATTTCCTCTTAGACTTCCTCGTCCCTACTCTGCGATGCGGCAGGACAGAGCAGGAGACTATGCACCGCCGACGGTCTCTGATCAACAATGCTGAAAGTGCTTGTAAAAATAATAAGCAGTTGTTAATCTCAACAGTGGGTTAAACCTAGTGAAACTTTTCTGTTTCGCTTCCCTACTTGGTGCACTTAGGGATTCTCTAGAAACAGGACTAAAAGAACCATCTTTCCCTACAACTGACGAGGAAAGTTCCCCAAGTGTGCAATCGCTTCTTTTTCGAAATTTAGTGGACAATAGGTAATCGACTATGCTGAATCCGAATATGATATCCGTTTGGGCCCTTAGACCTCCAGAGACCGGATTTCTAGAAAGCCAGTTTTTCAGAAACTCTAAAACATAACAAAAGCCTTTCCTAATGAGGCATGATTGTAGCCACAAATTTCTGATTAAAATGAGACATCTCCCAGCTGTGCATGACCTTTCTTTGCAAAGTTATAGGGTTTACAAGAAAAGCCCTAAATTAATTTCTTCTTATGTCTGTTGCTTTGAGCTGACAATGAACACTGTAGGACTTTTCTTGTAAATTCTATAACTGTGCAAAGAAAGGCCATGTAGAGCTGGGAGATGTCTCATTTTAATCAGAAATTTGTGGCTACAATCATGCCTTGAAAAAGAAGCGATTGCACACTTGGGGACTTTTCCTCGTTGGTTTAAAAATCGTTGACTAGCCTTTATTGAAATAAAATGGTTCCACCAAACACAAATTCATCCATGGTCCTTGTCTTTTATTTGAATTTTGTAAAATTTGTTTTGTTACACGGTGCATCATATCTTCCAGTCTAAAATCCGGCTCTGCTAAGTGACTTAGCAAGGCCCGTGTAAAGAAACTGTTTCCGCCAGTCGGCGAATCATTTGCAGCGAATGAAACTGTGCCTGGATCAGATGAAAATATGATTGCAAATTGTGATTCAACCGGTACACGGACATCTGAAGGTTTTAGAGCTTTGCGGAATGCTGGTTGTGGAGAGATTGATGATTACTAGTTGTGACCTTCATCTTCCACGTGTCGTTCTTTTTGTCCGCATGCCATGCGTCCAAAATAACAACAATCAAAAGGTTGTTAGCACGATTATTCGATTGCTTTAACATATTATTCAATGAGACACAGTCGTGTTCAGGATCATAAATTGGTTCAATTGGGATTAGATAATTTTCACCCTTAAAACGAACACAAAACTGTTCGTGTGCTCTGCGGGCTTATAGGCTTCGAAGTGAAAAATACCTTGTCTTCTACTCCATGTCCAGAAAAATAGATCATAACACAATCATTTTCATTCAGCTTTTGACATAAATCCCTCACACCGATTTCCATCTGGCGCTTTGTAGCATCAAGTACTGTTGTGCATTTGAAGCCTAGAAGTAAAGTAAATTCCAATCTCTGAGATTATAAGTTTTGTTTCAAGTGGAAACTCCTTACCAAGCGTCGATAATATTGCTGTCATATCTTTTGCATCCTGACAGCAACCGTTCAAGCGATTATAACCATCGTAGGCATCATTTCCACAGCAAAGTGCTAATCGACGTCGTTCAGACATTCTCTTTTGTATTCGTTAATCTAAACTCAAGGATGCGTAGTAATTTAATAAGATTACAGCAAGTTGTTGAGTGAGACGAAATCAGAACAACTTCCTTCCATCGTGCTTGATCAATCATGTGTTGCATTATTACTGCTTTTCTTGTTCTAACAGTATAATTAATCAAGCAAATGTTTTTACAAAATGAACCGGTCTACAAAATGGAAAAAAGTTCAATTTGAAAGGATCGAGTTTGATTAGACTATACTTGTGTCATCGAATAAAACAAATTCCTGGTAAAAAATCATCATTTGTAGAAAATTTTCAAGAAAACATCGTCACACTTATACCCTCAGTTCTAACTGTAAAAAGTTTTAATAATAGGTGGAACATACAGCTTTCCTAGGCCTACACGATGGCTACTTCCTCCCACGAACATTTAACAAATCAAACTTAAAAGGCGGTTGTCTAACTTATTTTTTCTGAATTTCCGCACTTCATAAAATTTTGTCACCTCTTTTTCTACCTTCGGAGTTTGTAGTAAGTAATTTTTATAAGCTTTCTGGAAAACTTCTTTATGAACTCTCAGCAACCTTTGATATTGACAAAATCACTATGAATTTTAAAAGTAGTCATCTTGGACTATCCACCCATGTACTTAGCCTAATATCAATTTTTTATGAAAAAATGCATGATTTTGATAGGAGAGAACGAGAACGGAAAGGCTAACAAGAAATGAGTGATGAAAATCAGTAAAAACTGTCTAAATTTGTTGTCAATTATCAATGCAAATACTTTCTCACGGAAGCGAATTTTTTGTTAATGACTAAATAAAGAGTCTATCTCATATTCAACTTCATAATATCTCTTTAACACTTGGACGATATTGTCGCAATGAATCTGAATGACTTGCTGTTCGGGATGATGAGGAAGTAGCGCTTGGTTCAACTAGCATCTAAAACAGAAACAATAATTAATGATACTTTAATTTGTCATATACGCGCAAGACAAACACATGTTCTCACCAGAGCCCTGCAGGTTTATCCTAACCTAACCCACGTTTATCCTACTCCTAACCTAACGTTTATTGAAGGAAGGAGAATTGTTCACAATAGCTGGACGTCCAGCAGGAGCTACTGGCGATTTCTGGTCTAGTCTTAAAAGAATCAAAGATAAAGATGATTTATTTGAACCATTTGTACAATGTTCAGTATGTGATAGACTCTTCGTATACGAACCAAAGAATGGCACAACAACGCTTAGTTTACATGTTCAAAATTGTTTGAAACAAGAAAAAACATTAAAATCACAGCCACCAATTAGTACAGCAATGAAAACAACAACCACAATTAATTCAGATGAGAAACGATCAGTTACAATTGCTTGTGCTAAATATTGTGCATTTGATTTAAAATCATGTAATTCAGTTGATGATCAAGGTTTCCAACAATTATGTCAAAAATTAATTGATATTGGTTATAAATACGGTGGTGTCCGAAGTGGTTTACCAAATGCAAAAGATTTTTTACCAGATCCAACAAATATATCACGTACCGTTAAACAATTAGCCGAACAATATCGTGTTAAATTAAAAGATTTATTACAACAAGATTTGAAAAAAATAAAATTATTTAGTGTAACTTTAGATTATTGGAAAAATGGTGAAACATCGGAAAATTATCTGGCAGTTAATATTCATTATACAAAAGGGGGGAAAATGGTTAATTTTATGTTAAGAACAATATTATTTACTAAATCAAAAATCGGCGAAAATACAAAAAAAGCGTTATTTTCCATTTACATTCTTTTGGAATAGATCCTGATACCAATCATATCGCTTATGTTACTGGCAGCGGATCAAATTTAGTTTGTGGATTAAATAAGTATTGATGTTGACATGATCGTACTGTAACCATTCATTTATTTATATTATGTTTTTTTCGTTACTGTATTTTAGAAAACGAAAATCACCTTCGATGTATTTGTCATGGTATTAACTTAGTTGTACTCCATAGTTTATCAGCTTGTCTGTTAATTGATGAATTAATTACGTCGTGTCGAGTATTATCAAGTCATTTTAAGCGATGTGAATTAAATCATTTATTACCTTCAATATTAAAACATGATAATGATACACGCTGGAACAGTATTTACGAAATGATGAATTCAATATCAATAAATTATAAACATATTGAAGGTGTTTTAGATGGTAGAGGTGGCGATGAATCAGAAAAATTAGATAATATTGGTCACCAACTCGTAACGCAATTATGTGATGTATTACTACCATTTAAATTAGGCAGTGAACGATTCCAAGCTGATTTAGAACCAACACTTCATTTAGTACTTCCATGGATAACAAAATTAAAACAACATTGTACAAAAGATAAAGAAGGTGATTTATTACCAATAATTCAATTAAAAAAAGAATTATCATTAAAATTAGATGAAAAAACATATTTAACACAAATTCATTATATAGCAACATTTCTTCATCCCATAACAAAAAATTTATCGGTAAGTTCTTCATTTTTATTTTTGCAATTTACTATCGTTCTATATATTTATCTTTTCATTTCTTATATCAGCAATTGAGTTCGACGAAACGTGAAAAAGTCCATGTGGATATAATGGCTGAATTTGCGAATGAAAATCAAGATGTCAGAGACAGTGATGATGAAAAAGACGAAATTGAACAATATTTAAAAACAAAAATGAAATTTACAAATGAGGATAAATTATTAGGATGGTGGAAAAAGCATTCACTTATCTATCCACAATTAAGTATTTTGGCACAAACATTATTCGGTGTCCCATCAAGTTCAGCAACAGCTGAAAGAGTGTTTAGTTCAAGCGGAAGAATATTAGAAAAAAGGCGCCAATCATTAAGTGGCGATACGGTTGACGATCTCTTATTCTTGCGAAATTTTAGAAAAATCTAAACGTTTTTTATTTGTTCGTTCTTTCTTTTGACTTTGTTAGATTCTGACGTGTTTATATTTCTCAAATACACTTACAAAATTTTGCAGATCGAAAAGAAAAAAATTATAGGTTAGGATTAGGTTATCGAATCCATAGGTTAGGTTGCCAAATTCTGTTTAGGTTAGGTTATAGGTTGCCAAAAACTGGTAACCTGCAGGGCCCTGGTTCTCATCTCTTCATCTGCACAATAGTCAATGATTCTATTTTCTCTAATATCTTTCAGATTATCTATCGTGAAAACTTACTTCACGTCTTGCTGTTGCATTAATTTCCTGTTTAACCGATGCACTTTGTTTAAAATAGAATATAATTAAACCAGTTGTAAGCATAATAATAATAACATTGGGTATAATTATAAAGTAGACATCGTATGGTGTTGGTATAACAATAAATTGAACTTTGTTTGTTGTAATCTTATTACCACTTTTACTGCGCTTCAAACGAGACTTGATCATCAATTTTAATTGTCGTTCATTAACATGTTTTCTTTTCAGTAATGAACATGGATAATTTTTATGATTAAATAGAATAATTAACTTTTTTAAAAAACTTAAGTTAAATTTCGGTGATTTAATAACCACATATTTCACTGGCACTTGCAAAAAAAGACACATGTGTTTATGCCAATATATGAAAATTATAATAAATAGGAAAATTTTCATTCTATATTTTAAACAACAAAACGGTTGAAAACTTTTAATTTTATGTCAGAATAAAAATAATTAAGACGAATTGCAAAAAAAAAAATGTTGTCATGGTAATGATTGGCCTAAAGTTCTGAATAAATTGAGACATTGTCTAGTCCTTTATAATCTGAGAAAAACAAACTAAAACTTTTGTTTGAAGAACTAAAAGGCTTACATGAAAAATGACTTGCGAGTTTGTTGAACGATAAAGTATGTTTACCTGTCAACGCTTTAATCGGTTTAAATTTTTAATTTTTTCCAAAACTTATGGTACATTGTATCATACATTATACAATGAATTATTTTAAATACTCTTTTTTCCATCGTGAAGTAAACTAAACTCTTTGTCTAATTTACGAATTTTTGAGTCGTCATCACCTCTCTTCGTAGATTATGAAAATAAATGTAATCAGATGGATTTTGGTCACTACTGATCTATCTAAGTTGTGACTAAAAAGAGATTATGAGACACAAATATCTTCTAACAATTAACTTTTATTCAATTTTTTGAAAAATACGAAAAAAAATTGTTAAAAAACTGCCTAATCTGTACAGGTTGAGAAAATGAATCCGATCCAACATAGTTTAAACTAAATGCAATTCGATTCGCGAATCGGATCCGTTTACAGACTTACAGGCAGAGAAGCATATATAGTTAATGCAACATTCTTAACAATTGTGTGAGTAACGCCATTTCACAAAAAACTTCAAGTTAGCTTATGATTTTAATTCATAACATGAAATAAAACAGAAAAAAATAGTTAGCGTTGTACTCGCCTCCTACTCTAAGATCGAATGGGATTCGGATCGTTTCAGATTTCTACTCCTACATTATTTATCGAGTAGAAAAATAATCTCTGTAAGAAAAGAGTTCGTAATTAAGAAGATATAAGACATATGATGGTTTAACATTGAGAAAATCATTTTTTTTATTCATAATATATCCAAATCAAACTAACTTTGCTTAATTGAGATGCATGTGACTTTTGCCATGGTATTTAGTGAAAAGTTTTAATAATACAAGTAAATATGTCTCTTTGTTCTATAAATCGAACATTATTTTATCTAGTAGAAGGATAAATGTGTAATGTGAATTTACGTTTTGTCAAAAAAACAGCTCCTATAGTTTTCATTTTTTCTACGGTATGTAATCTGATATGCGAAAAAAATTAAAAAGATTATGTTCAATGGACATATTATTAAAAGTTACACACACCTTCGCTAAGGGGTGGTCCAGAATAGAGATGTGCACGGGTACCGTTTTTGTATCCGTATCCAATCCGATCTCAGAACTTGGCATCTGTACCCGACCCGTATCCGATTTATGCCAAAAAATTTTCTCCGTTTTATTTTCCAGCTAAAAACTTTTGTTTTTCGACTGGAGATGACAAATTATCATTCCGTTCTCAAATAACTATTTTTAAAACGTCATGTATTTTAGCTAAAATCTTGTATTTTTCCACTAACTTTTTGGGGTTTTGCACCAAAATCTTCTGGTTTTCGGGTAAATACAGAAAAAACGGAATCAGTACTCGGCAACTTCGTGCCCGTATCAAACCTTGGAGTTGGATCGAATGCATCTCTAGTTCAGAATAAAATAGCCATTTTTGCTTTTTATTTTTGAGGCACTTCCTGGTGGTGAAAAGAGTTGGTTCTATGTTCATTCGATAGAGAATTCAATTCTCTACAAATCTGCTATTTAAATCTATGATAGCATTTTTTTCGTTTGAGCACCATTCAAAATATTAGATTGGTGGTGAGTAGTCGAACCGCGACGAGCTTTTAACGTCTCCTTTTTTGAGATTTTTAGCCCGTTGTCTAAGGTTCAATAGTAAATTTTTTCACGTACAAATATAGAGAATTTTATACTCTATCGATCTCACTCATTTACAACTTCATACAATGTGTCCGCTATGTCAGCTGGACTCATAATTAGTTCTCAACTGGCTTTATAATTTTTTATAAAGAATTATAATAAGACGGAAGAAAGAATAATAAGAAGACTAAAACCTTGGATTCAGAACATTTTACCGCTTTTGTAGTTAGAAAAGCGTCTACTCGGTCAAATATTTTGATGATATCGCAATGGGTAGAATGGGAAAGAGTAGCTTTGTAAAGTTAAAATAGGAAGATTATCGTTTTAGTCTAGACTAAGGAATGTAGAAAAACTAAAGTTTGTGAAAAATAGGTTCAAAAGTTACGTTTTTTGAGATTTATCAGTTTTTTGCACAGAGAAATTTTCCTAGGAGATTTAACTGCAAAATTTCTAAAATTATGTGAGAAGATGCAGAATTTCCCGATAAGTCTTCTGATATTTTTAAAATTCTTATCGAATCTATTGTTGGATCACGGCAAATATTTTTCTATTTTCAGTGTGTCGCAGTTCGACAGCTCAGCATCAATTCAATATCTCAAATGAGAAAAATGCCATCAGAGATTTAAACAGCAAGTTTGTAGAGAATTCCATTCTCTATCGAACGAATACAAATCCAGCTCTTTTGACCACTAGTAAATGCCTCAGAAGCAAAGAATAAAAGTGGCCATTTTATTCTGATACATCCGTTACATCATTAAATTACGTAGGGGAACTAACTCTCAGCAACAATATCGTTATTCAGAGAAAATTATGACATAGATTTTTCATGAAAGTTATAATATCAAGTTGATTTTGCATCACGCTTTGTTTTTCACACTGACTATTATTCTATCCGTGTGCATAAATAGACTAGTAAAGTTTACTAGTCTACTAGTGTAATTTCTTCCATTATTATTTATTTCGAATTAAATCATGTAAAACAATGTACACAAAACTTAGTGATTATGTGTGTGAATGTAATATTCTAGTTTTCTTTCTTTAGCATTCTTGATCTTTTACATGGTGTGTGAGAGAGATTAGAAACATGATCATTGGACTGATTCAAATGGTGATATATCAAATGATGATATACCACGCTATTGATAATTCTCCTACAAGTATGGTAAATACTTTTTGTATCTTTTATAATCTATGATTCTTTAGTGAGTAGATTATTTTAGTTTGATTTTCACAAATAATTTTCTCAAAAATTGTTTTTCTTTATTATCTTCTATTGTTACCAAGATGCGTAGATAAATGTCAATCTCACTCTAAAACGTTGATATCTATTTTCTTGTGCCTATAATAAAGAAAAAAAGTATGAAAAAGAAAAATACGCGAAGTAATAGGCTGTTATGATGCCAAAAAGAGAAGAAAAAAAAAGAAATATTTTCCTTTTTAGTTGATAATAATTGTGTAGAAAGATATTATTCTGTACATATTGCGTATATTTACTAGTATTACGATGGATGGATGGATGTATCTGTCTAAAGAAGAAGAAAAAAATGATGAGTTATTTTAGCTTTTTTTTCTAATATGTGTATCGCAAAGATAGCCAACATGATTATCAACCATAGTTTCTCATAAAAATATAGATGTTTCTGCATCTTTTGCTGAATATCTCATTTTCTATTAAAAAAAAAAGATTACATTGTATACAAAAAAGCCATTTTTGAATAAAAATTTTTTTTATAGGTAGGTTATCTATATTTCTAGTTCTACGTTTGTTCATTGCTCAAGGCTATACAATATCTATGTGCATTGTTCTTGTGTAAACATATGTATAACAAGATATAGACTGATTAGATGTTAAATGACTTTCCAATTGTATGTTGCATAACAGTGACGTATTGTTACATTAACGAATTTGCATCTATACCTATCAAAAGAAATTGTATATTTGGACAAAATACCAAATCACCACTTTAACAGTTTAAAGTGCCGTGTTTCTACCTCTCATCAATATCCAGCTTGTTTCTTTTTGAAAAGTATGTGTTATCTAAGCTAAACATGCGATCCTTGCGTCAACAGAACAGATAGCCCAAAAAAGATTATAGTGTTAGTATTTTCAATTTTTCTCCTCTTTCTTATAATTAATCGAACAAAGTTTTTTACCAAAATATAGCGCGTCTCTACAAAAATTTTTAAATATTGATTGTTTTACTACAAACTCCGAAGGTAGAAAATGAGATGAGAAATTTTTATGAAGTGCGGAAATTCAGAAAAAATAAGTTAGACAACCGCCTTTTAAGTTTGATTTGTTAAATGTTCGTGGGAGGAAGTAGCCATCGTGGAGGCCTAGGAAAGCTGTATGTTCCACCTATTATTAAAACTTTTTACAGTTAGAACTGAGGGTATAAGTGTGACGATGTTTTCTTGAAAATTTTCTACAAATGATGATTTTTTACCAGGAAATTGTATCATTCGATGAAACAAGTATAGTCTAATCAAACTCGATCCTTTCAAATTGAACTTTTTTCCATTTTGTAGACCGGTTCATTTTGTAAAAACATTTGCTTGATTAATTATAAGAAAGAGAAGAAAAATTGAAAATACTAACACTATAATTCTTTTTGGGTCACTCGTTAGACTTGAACTTAAATATTTGAGCACTGCACAATCGCTCTTTTTTTCGAATCAAGCGGGATCAGCCTGTTTTGGGAGAGAAGCTAAGCCATGTTAACTACTCTTGGACTAAGTCATATCTCAGCTGTTTGACGTGATCGATAAATACTTCTAACGTTTCATGTTTTAGTGATATCTATTAGCAATGGTGTTACGCGTATTCGTTATAAGTACAACGGGTCGTCGTGACATTCGTAAACGTCAAATACATGTATTAGCCGTACTGAGTAGCTGGAAATTTGAACATATCGTCATCGATGTTGCTGATCCTGAACATGCTGAAGAACGGGATTTTATTATTGAGAATGGGAAAAAAAATCAAGATGATAAAATAATGTTACCACAAATATTTAATGATGATGAATGTTGTGGAGATTATTTAGATTTTTTACAATCGATTGAACATGAGAAATTACAATTGTTTCTAAAGCAAATTACCGAAGAAGAGTATGAGGCACTACAACGACGAAAAAAAATTTCAGAAGGCGGCGCGGATGATGAGGAGAAGAAAGAGGATGAGGAGGGAGAGGAGAAAAAGGAAGGTGAGGAGGATGAGGAAAAGAAGGAGGATGAGGAGGGCGAGGAAAAGAAGGAAGATGAGGAGGACGAGGAAAAGAAGGAAGATGAGGATGATGAGGAAAAGAAGGAGGATGAGGAAGGTACTGAGGAAAAGACAGAGGGCGAGGAGGGTAGCGAGGAGAAAGTTAAAAGTGATGAGGAAAAATCCGGGGATGAAAAAGAGGAGGAAGGGGAAGAAGATGAAAAAGCAAAGAAGGAAGATGATACGGATGAACTGGGAGAGCCAAAAGTGAAAGACAGCGATGAAGTTGAGGAGAAGTCTAAAGACGAAGCGGAAGAGAAAGAGACGACAACAGAGAAAAATGATGAAGAAACAAAAGAAGATAACGACAAGACAAAAAAGTCCAAGGGTATGTATGCTGTTATTTTTGGCACGTTGGTAGCGTATACAATAATTATGTGATTGCATTACTCTAAGTTTTATAAATCTTATTGATCATCGGTCTTGCACTATACTTATATGAAAATTTTCTGTATTATTCAGTGATTCTACGTGCGAAACCTCCAAGTTATTAAGTGATGTGTGCAATAATTTGTTGACAAATAATATACTAATTGCAGCTGCGTATAATTCTATTTTTATTTATTGTGATATTCTGACCTTAGACGGCCATTTTCAAATATAACCAGTTTCATAACCAAAAGAGAAAGAAGAGAAGAACTAAGCGTACATATATTAGAACAATGGATAAATAAGAGGAGTCAAATCACGTACCAAAACGCTCGCTCCTTTTAATACAGAAGCGCTTCTATGTCAAAAAGCCCTAACATTATTAACAAGAAAAGATGTTGTGCACATTAGACTCTCATTGATGGCGTATAAGTCTTCGATCATCATATAACCTTTCACATCTTGTTCTCGCCAATCCATTTGAAAAGACACATAGGGGAACTGATCTGTCTGTATCATTTAAATCTGACAATATTGCTCTAATTAATAATAATTCTTTAATTGGTAGTAAATATCTATGGTAGTGAAATCCGACATTATTTTCTTATTTTCAGATATAAGATGACCTATAGTTATATTAAAAGAAACAAGGGTGTTTATACGTGATTTGACTCCTCTTATTTATCCATTGTTCTAATATATACGCTCAGTCCTTCTCTTCTTTCTGTTTTGATTATGAAACCGGTTATATTTGAAAATGATAGTCTAAGGTCAGAATATCACAATACATAAAAATAGAATTATACACAGCTGCAATTAGTATATTATTTGAGGAACCTGTACACGTGGCATGAGTGAAATCATGGTTTACACACGGGGAACTCGTGGAAAAAATGATCAAAGCGTCCAATATTTCTCCTCCGGCATGATAATACTAAAAACCAGTGGCAAGATATCGGTCTTGTACTTTTTATATCGGACAGGTTATCTTGATCTATTCATTGCATGGACAATTAGTATTTTCTCTTGGCTACGGATATTTCATCTACAGTTACTTGCTGAAAAAAGTCTGAAGAAAAAATGACTTCCGTGGAAGTAATAAATCACTGGTGGCCCAGGGAATAGACCGGAGGCGAGAGTGAGAAGGAGAGCATCTTTTTCAGTGTGTATTTTTCAGCGAATAATCCTAGACAAATTGTCTGTCGTCAAGAGAGAGTAAGAATTATCAAAGAAGGAGTTGTCCACAGACAAAAAGTACCGGAACGAATAGGTTGTGATGAATCGTGGCAGGCAAAAAGTAAGACGAAATGTTCTAGAACTACACATACACTAATTATTTTTTGGAAATCATTAAAAAATAATCTAGTTCCAAAGCTGCTTATCCTAAATGGTCTGAAAGAGTAGGCTTGTCCAATAGATTTTTCTCTACAAAATAAGATGTAACGAGGTTTATATTCTCTCGTGGTCTCGTTTTTAGTAAAAGTTTTGAACCCTTATAATCCTATCTGAGGTCCGGACGGGAAAGAAACGGGAATATTAGGTTAATGTTAAATTTAAGACTATCGCAAACCTTTCAAATATCTAAACTAATTCAAAAATTGGTGCATTCCTGTCTAGAACCTAAAATCTACGAAATTATCAACGGAAAAGTATGAAAATAAGTTTTCTACGCGTGAGATCACTCATTAGTAATAGAAAGCTGTGAATTTAGATAGTTATTATATCATTTATACTTTAAGTCATACTACACCATTTCATTGCTTTTTTTAAGACATCCGCATTTCCGTGTCAAAAATACAGATTTTTCCATGAAAATTCGATGTTGAACTATACGCATTCTTAGCTAGCGAAAGAATCTACTCTTAAAATCCATAGTGCTAATATATAAAGATTTTGAGTGTTTCTGAAACAGTTTTTCGGAAAACCTAAAAATCCTAATTGTTCTCAATCGAATCCTAATATTTTATTAAAATATCCAGACCAAAATGTTAAAAAAGATTTCAATGATGCCTAAATGTTGAGTAAATATTTCTAGTTACAACGAGATGATCCTCAGCTCTGAGTGATGCTTTGATCAAACATTATAACAGTTTACTGAGAATCTCCAAGTGTGTGCTATGCACTGGCGTCCATCGTATCTCAAAAGAGACTTCTGGAGGAAACAAATACCGATGCAAGGATTTCTTCATAATATTCAAATATTTTTTTTAAATTACACCTAACGAACAACCTAAGGGAGCCTGACTTTTATCTAGAGTCTTCAACTTTTACAATGTCAATTTTTATTTTGTTTAAGAATCCAAGCCAAAGGAAGACAAGCCGAAAACAACGAAAACCGATAAAGAAAAAGCTTCAGCGGATAAAACGAAACAAAAAGATGAAACGAAGAAGGCTGATGAGAAACCTGGTAGAAAACGACGTGGTTGGGATGAGACAAAAGATGATGCAAAAAAATCTGATGATGATACCAAAAAACCAGAAGAATCTGAAAAGAAGGAATCTGATAAGTCAACTGAAGGTAGACTATTAACAAAGTGATCTTTTGAATTAGTCTAAAGCTATTGTAACATATGTTATCGACGGTCATAACATATTTAGAATGATTGAATTACTTAGTTTGGTCGACCTCATAAATAAACCTAGATGGAAGAGTGTGTTCATTGATTATTAAAAAAATGTGTAGGGTTTCATGTTTTCTGAGGACTTACGCGAGATGTATTGGTTTTCATGAGTTGGTAAGTTTCGACCATCTTACACTCGGAAATGTAGACGGTAACAGAAAACTCATAAAATTTCTCACAGTTTAGTTCTTGCCCTAGTCTGAACATTTTGCTACAAAAGTTGTTAGAAGTGCAGATTTTGACTAGTCTGGAACATTCTCTTGTTACTTTCAGCGTTCTATTCTACTAAATGTTTAGTATTGTTTGATGCTTTCTATCCTGTCTATTCTATCCAATCTCACGCAGAAAAAGCTATGGTTAGAATATCTATTTCTTTCGACTCTACTAAGAGTATGTATGAATGGTCCATGTCACGTTATGCCATCACCATTCAAAAGCAGGAGATTATTACTGCTTACCCACTAATCGATTGCTGTACGATTTAAAAGTATTCCATTTACATTTAGAAACCGATGCAAAAAGCAAGGATCTAGAATCTTCGAAAAAGAAAGAAGAAGCTGATGACACAGATAAAACGAAACAAAAAGATGATTCGAAGAAGACTGATGAGAAACCTGGTCGAAGACGACGTGGCTGGGATGAGACAAAAGATGATGCAAAAAAAACTGATGATGATACCAAAAAAGAAGAATCTAAAACTGAGACAGATCCCAAAAAGAAAGAAGAACCCGAATCAACTAAAGATGAACAGAAAAAAGATGTTGAAAGCGAAAAGAAAAAAGGTAAGAATTTATTTCATATAAATATACCTGCGTTAGAAACCGCTGCTAATAGAAACCATTTCAACTATAATCAGAAGACAAATGTCAGTTACAGGGCGCTAAACATGTGTTTCATGCGATTATTGAATAAAGAAAAGCTTCTCTGATCACCGTCTAACGAGTATTTTATGTTCTAGAACCACATAGTTCTGCTCAATTAGCCGCCTGGGGTGCAGAACCTCCCAGTGTGTGCGAACAAATATTCATGCAGAATTTTCCGAAGATGTGGAAGCTTTTGAGAAATTTTTAGTACGAGAATTGTTTGAAAATATGTAGAGAGTAAATTTTAAGATTAATAAAGACTTTCGCGATTATCAGCATGTGATACGGTTGGTGGATATTTTTAAATCAATAGATGGATTCTATATCTCTGAATCAACAGCAGAATAAAAAATATTGAATGTCAGAAAAAAAACTCTCACTCCTGATACTAGTTTTGAGTCCATCTTGAGTTAACGAACAATCTCAATGAATGAGTTTATAATATTTATTTTAGAAGAAAAGACTGACACAACTAGTCGTCGGCGACGTGGTTGGGATGAAAGTGATAAGAGTAAGGAACCGGAATCAAAAACTGAATCAAAAGATAAATCGGATAACAAAGACAAGAAGACGGACTCGAAAGAATCAGCTAAAGATGAAAAGAAATCATCCACCAGTAAAGATGAGAAGAAAGCAGACTCAGAAAAAGAAACTGAAGGTATGTATGGACATTTGATCGTATCTTGTAATACAACGACAGAAACTTCTTATGCGATAAATTACTTTTTTCATATTTCTTTTTGTCGCTTAATCTTCAAGTACCGTCCCGTAGAAACTAATTCCCCTAAAACTGATTTAGTGAGGAGAATTTGATATATCCAGATTGTAGATCGAGTCCAGTCACACCACATATGAGGAAGAATTTTTAGACCAAGCGAAACGTTCTCACAACGATATAAAAATTTTATTTTTTAATTTCAGTGGATATTGAAAACTGTACATCAATCAACACCTCATAAGCGTTATTTGTTTTGTGTTATGTGTTAACAACATGTCTATTTGGTCTGAAAACTTTTCCTCGTATGAAACTCGACCCTCATTACAATATGGAGGTTAGATTCTATTCAGTCGAAGGCTTTGGACGGATTTTGAAAGAGTCACTTTTTACAGATCGGTACTTGTAAGATATCAGATTCGTGATTAGCATAAAAGGTAACCCATGGGAAACACTATATCCTGGAAAAAGTGGTTTAACGAAAAATTGAAACAAAAGAGTCCGCGGATTAACCGAAAGAAGAAATACTTAATTTTCACTAAATTCGCACTCGCCTAATTGCTAAAATTTTGTCTACATAACATTTGGTTAACTAAAGACTTTATAATAGTTTAAGGGGTGAATGTAGTCGAAGTACAATGTTCTGTTCTATCTTTTATAGAAAAGAAGTTAGATTCAAAACCTGCGACCAGTCGTCGGCGTCGAGGTTGGGATGAAGAAGACAAACAAGCAGCCGAGAAGAAAGAGGCAGAATCAAAAACCAAATCAGAATCCGAGACAAAAGATGAAACAACCGCCGATGATACCAAATCGGAAAAATCATCTACAGACGAGACGAAAGATTCTAAAAAAACTGATAGTAGCGACGAAACGAACAAGGACGAAAAGAAATCAACAACAGAAGGTACGCTCATCGACTTGACAACGTAGTTCTGCTGCCGCACTACAATTCCGTAACGTTTTTTTCATGTTTTGTTTTTCTTATGATTTTCGAACGAAAACACGTGAAGAAGTGTGTAACGTCTTAAACTGAAGAAAAAGTGTGCTGAACATTCTAAGGCGTTTCTGCTCTGTACATGTTCTGCCATTTAAGAAATACGATAGAAATGCAAAGAAGTACTTTTATCGGGAAAAGCCAAATTTTCGTGGTATATTATAAACAACAGAGAGCAAAAACGTCTTAAAACGTTCAGCACACTTTTTCTTCAGTTTAAGACATTACACCCTTCTACGCTGATTTTCGTTCGAAAATCATAAGAGAAACAAAACGCAAAAAAAACGTTACGGAATTTCAGTGTGGTCGTAGAGTTACGTGGCAAGCCGTCATTTTCTAAATAGCTAAGATTGAATTGATTTATCCAAGGAGTAATCAAACTAGCTGACCGCTGTTAAGACGTACTGTAGTCTCATAACAAGCATTGAGGTACTATCTTGTAGTGTTTACTGTGCGTCCTTCATGTCAGTTCATCGCTAATGCTTCATTGACTAAGTGAATAAAGGTCCTCTCTGCTAATAAAATATGTTATTATAGAAAAGAAGCCTGAGTCAACAACACCCAGTCGCCGACGTCGAGGTTGGGATGATGAAGGTAAGAAAGAGGCCGAAAAGGACACGGAATCATCAAAAACTGATAAAGAATCAGAGTCAAAAACAGATGAAGAGAAAAAGCCTGAAAGTGAAACGAAAGAAAAACCGGCTGGTAGACGACGAGCTTGGTAATATCAACGATTTAACTTTTAATAAGTGCAATAAACTACTTACACTGGTTCTAAACTGGATACATCTGACGTATTTCTGAACTCACATGATTTACAAAAGAGTTAAGTGACAAAAACTAAACACCCTCGTTTGTCAAAGGATTTCATCAATTATTTTTTTAACAACGAATTTACAATTTGAAAACTTCTTTTGTTTTGTTGTAAATAAGCGTGCTATTTATTTTTATTTTGAAAAATATAATCTATAAGAACTGAAATATGCCATAACGAAAGACTCGCGAGGTAGATATTTTCTTTTTTCTTTTACACCAGCTACTTAAGAGTGAATGAGCCTACAAAAAAAAAAGAATTATCATAGATGGAAAACATACGCTTTCGGTCTCTGTTGAAACTGTTGTTTTTCGAGAACAAACGCGTTAGAGCTGTGTTAGTGAGCTCTAAGTGGAACTCGTAAAATGTATACCATTGGTCTCCGGCATTAAAACTTACTTTTGCTCAACTTCGGATTGAATATTAATGATCAATAAAAAAATTCTGCATTTTTCTAAATGCTTTTGAAATAATCCAAGAAAAGACGTTTTTAAGAAATCCTGAGGGAAATTGCATCAGCCAAAAACTCATATCAAGATTTCATATAACTAAAATTTGGGTAAAAATGATCCACTGATTACTGTGACTCATTTTTTCAACGAAAAAAACAATTTAGGGGTCGAAAACTTAACTCCCATATCCTCATTCTCTCGTTTTTTGCACCAGCAGACGCTTTGGGTGCTAGATTAATTTACTGTGCTTAGGTTCATATTCTCTTGTACTATTAATGGCTGGTATTGGTTGCTTTTATTCGACTAATACACATACTAAACTTGGAAGATGGAGATCATATTTGAATACTGATGTTTGGATTTAGCATCAAATTCTTTATTTTTCAATATTTGAGATATTGGGAAAAGTGCCCTTCTTAGCATTGTGCAGAATTGAAGAAAATAAATTTTGTAAAGTATGGAGTGCTAAACAGATTAGGGTAATCATAAGAAGACACCAATTCTCACCACCATTCTTCTCATTTTGCCAATTGCCGAGTTATCTTCAATCAGAGAAAAACGATAAAGACTCTCAGTTATCTACTGTAAAAATTGTTTATAAATTCGTACCGTTAATTAGTGCTATTTAATTTCTAGTTTATAGCTATTAAATGGTTCCCATGAAAAAGATAGTGTGATTAGAATCATCTCAGGGCGCATACAGAGAAAAAAATGTTTTTTTTTTTTTATTTCAATAAATTGCAGCTGATTAATTAACGGAAAGTCCCACTGGCTGTTAACTCATAAAAGAGATAGACGCTCAAAATTCTCTTCACGACTTTGATAGACAAAAACAGTTGAGTGGTGTGATTTCAATCTTATGTTATTATTAAATAATTCAAAATGTTGCTGGATTTGTTTTATTAACAAAGACGTATCTAGGCATGCACTAGTTAAATACTGGTGTTGAGGCTTCCACAAAAATTATTATAAATGGCCTATAAAGAATTATTCAGAGCTGCGCAACCTCTTATTTTGTAGAGAAATGTTTGGATTACAATCCCATATAAGTAGAAAAAAAATTTCAATATTTTCTGTGATATAAATATCAGCATTCTAAAATGCACTAAAGGCAGAAAAAAACTGTTCGAACAAATAATTTTAGTGCATTTTAGCATGCTCACATTTTTGCTAGAATTTACTTCAAATCCCTTTTTACAGTCGAGCATGCAAGAGCAAACATTTCTCTACAAAATAAGAAGTTGCACAACTCTGAATAATTCTTTATAGGCTACGTATAACAATTTTCGTGGCAGCTCTAACACCAGTTTCTTACTGGCGCATGCCTAGACGTATCGATAGTCGATAATATTTCTTTTTCAATGAGGAGCACTATTATTGTGCTCGAGAGTTCTATAGTTGATTGACTTGGATTTGACTTGGAGTGAGAGCATATTGACGATCTTATTCTAACAGTGATTTAATAAACAAGTTAATACTACCAGACTTATTTTAAAGAATACGGTATTTTTGATTACTCCATTTTTTTAAAATTCAAAATAATATGTCAGCTGTCTCCAAACTGTCCCGCTTTTTATCGTTCGATTCGTCGACTAATTAATTTTTTTCCTTACTCGTTGACAGCATTAGGGGGAGATGTTAGTGAGGTGCCGACATTATAAAATGTCGACGAAATAGGAAAATCAATTAACGTGTCGACGAATCGCGACTGAACCCTTTTTATTGAATCTTTGACAGATAGAAGATCTGGTCGCTTGAATTTTAACCTATCAAATTCACAAGTATAAACTTCTACAGTTCATGTAGCTGCATTACTCTTGTATAGAACAGCGATAGAATGGAAATTGTTTGCTAGAGGATGTAGTTTCGATGTTTCGTAACCAATATAAACTACTTTTAAGAATTATCGGTTTTGTTCAGATTCTTGAAGATGACAGACAGTTAGAATCAATTTCACGGTGAAATCGGCTAGAATCAATTCATTTCATATATCGTCTACGTCTCAAAATAAGCCGTTTTGATAGACGTACTAACGGACTAAAAATGCCTTTACAATGATATTTGGAAATATATCCGAATCTAGACGTGGCCAACGCCAATGTGATACAATATGAATTGGACCGAACAATATCTGCACACAACAAACCCGTAGTATCATTTTGATACAAATCGAATACATGTGTGGTATTTTTGACACCGTATCATTGAATATTTTGTTCCATTATTCAAATATGAGTGAAGCTGTAATTATATAGCCATACAATAGAACTTGTATTTATTTTCAGAAAATTGAATACACAGTACTTTATTCATAAACACGAGACCAATATCTTTCAATGTTTTATTTGAAATGTAAATGAAACGATGAGAATAGAAATAGTTACTCAGTGTACCATTGGAATGAAGTGAAACACCGACATTAAGAGAAATTAAAAAGTTTTCATGATAAAAGTGTTGTATTTACTTATACATGAATAAAACTACTCTTCGACCAGTGACATTAGGTGCACCTAAGATAACACAAACATCGACACCAGAACATAACAATGAACGAAAATTTTTTTCATACACAGAATATAAGCGTTTTAACTAAAATAATAGGAATATATTCTATAGACAAGTGAACATTTAAAAACATTGTCATAAAAGAAAAACAGATATTAGTAAAAAATAGTCAAATAATGTACAATTTTTGGCTAATGTTACGTGATATGCATATAAATATGGCTATAAACGAAGATCAAAGGATAATCGTTTCTTCTAAATAGACAATGATATATTCACAGAACGTTTGCGATTGATCATCATAAATCGTTGCTATTGTGCAATATGTACTACTATTTTGATATCAATAATAAAAAAACAATCTTCATCGATTTTTTTCATTTTTATTATAAATAGGAACTGATATATTACAGTTACTTACATCTGTATATTGTTTCATTTTCTTTTTTACTAACATTCTTTCGTTTCTTTTCTATATTTATTTTTGAATGCAGTTGTATTTGGTCTCATTATATTGTAAATTTTTTGAGTTTATGCACAATTTTCAATGAATAACGTGATATAAACAGGCAAGACTTTAGAAATTCGACAATTCAACTAGTAACAGAGTTGAAAGCATTATTTTTTTCTATTTTTCAACATCCATAGTAAACATGTCATCAGAAGTTAGTTTGATTGAAAGCGTTAATCTAGTGCAAACGACATTGTCATTTTTAATTCAGCCGATAATCAGTTGGATAACATCCCATTCACATGGACTATTTTTTTACCACACAGCCGGACATGAAATTTTCTATCAGTAAAAATGATCGTTTTTAGCTTGATGATTGGACAAAAGTTCTGCATTAATTTAATTTTCATCATTGTATCGCGTAAGAACATCGTAGATTCGCGATTTTTTCCCGTTAAAAGTCCACATTTCCTACATTTCTCCCACACATCTAATAAAAGTCAAAAAACGGTTTAAAAAATCTACCTCTTGTCAAAATCGTTCTACATTGTAGGAAAATTAGAATATTACAAGAAACTCATTGCTGTTTGCCGAAGATTGCAGATAAAAATAATTAAAAATTACCTGCTTCACGAGGATTTGAATTCTCCACAAAGTACTTAATCAGAAATCTAGTTTGAAAGAGAAAGCAAATATTAAACTGTAATTAAGGCAGTTAACTAATTTTTTAGAAAACTAATTATTTTGAATCTATAATCAAACAGTGAGCCAAATTAATTTAGTTCATTGTAAAAGGCGAAAAAGAATGGAGTCTAATGCGTATCGGAAGGAGTTCTTTCAACTTTTCTCGGGAGTAAAAAGACTGAGAAGCAGACAATCGTCATCGGTAGCTGCAACGTAGTTTTTGAAGGGATTTCGTTACGCTTACTAACGAGAAAAAATCACAAGCCTGCGATGTTCCTTGACGGTATAATAATGAAAAACAAAATTAATCGAAAAAATGTTAGTCAATTTTAGTTTTTGATCAAAAATGCCTGAGTAAAAGAGGCTTTAGATAAAAGTTTTAAGAAGGAAAAAATATCTCAGAAAATGTTTGAGAATTACATTGTATCGACTCCGAATGTTATCTTGCTTTTTATTGGAAATATTTTTGAGTAGAGAAAAATAGATTTTAATTTAGAAATCGGTGTTTTTCTGGAAATTCTATATCACAGTCCGGAGAAGGCTGTGCTAATAATGTTACTATAGATGCAGTACACACAGAAGAAAATTTTGTTATGCCAATAAATAGTCCGTGTATCAAACCATCAAGGCTTCCGCCAGGCAGGAACCTATCTCCCAAAGTATAAGTCTGAACTTGGCAAACATTTTAGGAAACGCTGGACGCGCCAAAGTATGGTTAAAAAATGACTTTTTGTGACTCTGCCTATCCTCGTTGGTAAGCTGGTGCCACATCAATGGTCAAAATGGGACTGTCCATAGCTGCAACCTTTCTCGGTAACGAAACGTCGTGAAGAACTGGGAGCCGTCTTAAAATAGTGAAAACACAAATGGCTAAAGGCTGGTAAAGCCGGATTTTTGTTATTTTACTTTCGAAAATAACGGTAAGCATCAAAAGTCAAAAGTTCGAAAATATCCCATTAACTTTCACAAAGATGCTTCTCTAATCATAAATCTAGACCGAATATCAAAAATCTGACTCTAGTACTCTCTAACCATAGCTGTCAGCTTCAATTTAACACCGGTCGGAGCCTTCTACAACTTTTCGTTACCAAGAAATCTTGCAGCTCCGAAATGTGTGCATAAAGAAATATCACTTGGAGAAAAACACAAAATACTTTTTCGAAAACTGTCAAGTTTTTCGTAATATTTCAATAATCACAGTTTCTGTATATATCCCTATAGGTTTCCGTCCATACTGAATAGGTATACAACCTAGTGCATTTGATTACAGTCTTTTACCTTATTCTTTGAGAATAAGTTCTGGAAGTAATCCAGTATCACAGCTATATAATCAAACGTTTTCATTCCACAAATCAATATTTTCAAGCCTTAAATCTGCAAAAGTTCCAACCAAGTCAACATCCATCAATTGATGTTAAAAATTCTTCAATAATTTCAACATGGATATACATTTGCACTCGAGAAAACTCATACTTGCCCAGCTCTGGTTACAATTTATTTCCTTCGAAATGAGTCTGGGCTAATTTCGAATGTATTCGCCTGAATTGCTAAGCACTAAATTTCATCATAAGAATAACTTGTTTACAAGCTAGAAAACTTGTTCTTAGAAGTAAAAATTATAGAAAAGATGTTTAATAAGTGGTAACGCACACACAGGGTACTTTGAGATACATACTCGCAAGGTATACGAATGAAGATAACGAATAAGTCGAAGGTGCTTAATCAATTTGTACGCTTTAGTTATGACCAAGTAAAAGCCTTCAATTGCTTCTAGTTTTTGACTTTCGTGAAGCAGTCGATTGAGCTTCTCATACAGTATGGGTTTTGCTTATATTTCGAAATATAATAACGGTCGATAATCTCGATGTGCTTATACAGGAGACAAATTATTATTGCCCATTTGTTTCTGTTCTTTTTTATCCTAATACCAATCATACTAAACATTTGGACAAGTCTGTTTGATTTGACAATCAAAAAGCATTCACGCTATATAATCCACAAAAGTCCAAATCACGATTTCTTAAAAAGAGGATACGGTCATGGTAATGTCTCATTTTCGTTTTGTAACAATCGTTTTTTCTCAATTAGACATTTAACTATGCTGAACGATAGTTGGAACTACTATGCAAGACAAAGTTAGAAATCAAAGAAATAAAATAGTTCGTAGAAAACCATATTCACATGAATCATTACTATACTGGAACATTAGCGTCTTTAGCCAAGAGTGAAAAAAACTAATATTTCAACTCCTACAACGACAACTGCTATCATTTACAATCCACGAGATGCAATAACATTTATTTTTATCATCATATGAGAATAAAAATAGTAAGAAAAAAACAAATATTCATTCAAATTGTGTACAAAACGGTGTCAGATTATTATGCTTGTTAATTATCGATACAGAGTTATGCAGCACACTTTGGTGTTGAATATGGTTGTAGTACACTGGTCGTAGCTGTCTGCGTTTGTGAATGATTTTGGTAATAGTTCATTGGATCATATGGACTCCAGAAAGCAGCTGCTGCCGATGAATAATCGCCGCCAAAATGTGATCGTAATAAATCGCAAGACTGTTCATTAGTAGGAAACAATGACGAATTATTTACGAATGACGGTGGTAGTAGATTTGCTGTACAATGATTGTTGTTCATTATGTTAATTTTCGAATCAATATTCGTAGAGATTTTTGTATCTACATCTTTACTCTCATCTGCTTTTAAATCTCGATCTTCACCGTCGTTACTACTATCATCATCATCATCGGAATATTGTTGTTCATCGTTCATATCGGATGTGGATGCATTTAAAACAGTTGTTATTGTACCATTAGGGCTAGTTTTTTGAGTTTGTTTAATGATTTTTTTGAATTTCGAACGTTTATTTTGAAACCATATTTTTACCTAAAAAATGAGAAAGATTTGAAGTTTTCAGATAATAAAACAATACTGGACCAAATAATAAATAATAAAGTGACGCATAATGAACCTCTTGTGTTGAATTGAGCAGCTCGATTATCTGACATGAAGATATACAAACGGATGGCAAAAGTTTAAGTTACTTTTTGCAATCTTCAAAATGCAGCCGTCTCAATATTGAGACAAATATTTCTAAAACTCTCAAATGAGAGTTTCTACAAAATCGAATACTCGCTAAATGTGTTTTACTCGTTCTAACAATGCTCAAGACAAATATTTATCGTATGTTTCTTTATTTCGCTGAAAATTACACCGCAAATCCCTGTTGCCTTCACTCAGAAGCTTATAAAGTACGGAATATGGAGGTAGACTAGATTTTTCTCGAAATCATTAAAAACTCTCGAGCTTATCATTTCGTACAGAAAATTGTCAGTTTTCTTTTGAGAGTGAAAGAAAAAATGTTAGATGCAAATATTTGTTAAATTTCAACCACGAAGAATTTTATTTTCATAATTAAATCTAGAATTAGATTTTTAGGGGAAAATCTACAAAAACTCTTGAATAAAGGTATGTTCGCAAGCAAATATGCGATTAGTCTTTTATCTTATTCCTTGAGAATAAGTTTTGGAAGTACTCCAAGATCACAGCAGTATCGTCAAACAGTTTCATTCCACAAATCAAGATTTTCAGACCTTTTCTATTCTGTTAGAATTTCCTCTAAAGGTTGAACAACTCAAATCTGTTGCTTTAAGAGTAGTTTAGAAAGACAATGTGATGTTATTTTCTCGAAATTCTAACGAATTATCTGCTGAAGAAAAGCTACTATCTCCACAGTATCTATTCATCACCAACTCTCTCATCATTATATGCTGTACGATAACAACTTAATTCACTCGTCAAATTTTACTCAAACATTCTTCATTTATAAAAATAGTAGGAACAAAGTACCTTGAACGTTAAGATGTTCCCTTCGATGTTTTCAACAATCAGAGAAATTCTCTTCCCAAATAGTCACTTTTATGTCGTTCAGATGACCCCAAGCACGGAAAAAGCATTGAACATTACCAATGCATCCCGGTGGTCAATTTTTCTGATCGATGCATCTAGATGCAGCTAAATGTTTCTCTTGATGCAACTAGTTAACATTGCCCATGAATTAGTATTTGCACCGGGTTTAACTTGGTGCAAGTAGATGTATTGAGCAATACATTGTGCAATTCAGTCAGATAACTCAATGCTTCACCTAGATAAAAGAGTAAAAAATATCTATCGGCACGCCAGCTAAAGCATTTAGATATTTGCGCTGGGGGACTTTTGCTTAGGATTAAATATTCAGATTACATCCAAATAGGTCAAGTATCAAGCAAAATATGTGATTGATACCCCAATATTGTTGATATCGTATTGATCAAAGTTTGAAGCTGTAACTAAGGATTTTAGAATAGATTTTAAATCTATACACACCATGTCATTTTCTTTCTCTCTCTCTCTCTCTCTCTCTCTGTCAAATTTTTCTTTTCTCTATTTTTTGATGTTCGAATGAATTCTATGAATGATGGGCGTATCGGTCAATTCTTTTTTTTCTTCGTGATTTTTTATATTGTCCTTGTCTTCTTTTTTTTAATATACAGTAGAGTGTACATCGACCATGGAAAGAGAATGTCGATTCGATATACATATACTATAGATCGAAGAAAGCCTGCAGGGATTTTTCTCTTTTACTTCGTTCTGATCATCATCATCATCACAACAAACACATCTTTTTACTACTGTTATACACCTTTAATAACAGGTTGTCGTTTCTTATTGTAGACAAAAGAAGTAAAAAATATCGTTGTTTTTTGTTTTCGGATAATGAACAGAAACTCCTATTTCTTCTTCGAAAAACATATTTGACATATTCAAACAACACCTTCTTTTGATTTCGTTCACTCATTCGAAATGAACATTGCATGATAAGCAATATATGAATGAATAAAAAAAAATAAAATAAAAAATCTTTTGTCATTGGCACAGCAAGATGACGATATTGTTAAAACATATGTTTAAATGAATTAAAACTGATGCTGGAATGTATTCACATTAATGTTTCAAAATCAGAACACATTTATGTTACCATCAGATTTGTTGCTTTTTTGAGAGAATAAAAAAGTTCAAATAATACTAAAAACATCTTCGAGACATAGTAGATTATTATCAATACAAAGAGTTTTATCTTTTCTATTCTATAAACAAGCGCTATTTTTGATTATCTTCTGAAAAAATATCTTAACTAATGTGTCTAATTTTTTTCTTGTCAGGTTAACAATGTCAAACTATTTTAAAATCGATTGACATTTAACCTTCTAACGTATATCTAGACATACATACTAATACAGGTATACGCCCAGTTCAGATAAGCTACAAAAGTGCCGCCATCGATTCTCTCTCTTAATGTTTCAATGAGATGAAATGTTCACGCAATGTTCACATTCGATGCTGTGATCTCTCTTTTATTCAATATAAAAAGTTCACACTACGTATTTTTTTTTAAAGATAGTCGCATATTGATAACGTATAAAGAAAGTCAAAGAGGTTGGAAGCTAATTGCGCAATAAACCATAAAGGTGGAAAAAGAGTTGACTGATTAAATAAGAGAAGACGTTTTTCACAACAATAAGTACACGCACGAAAAACGAAAACAAAACTAATCGATCAACTCTTGCCTCATAATCTCGAAACAAACACTTCTTTGTCTTATTAACAAGAGAAAAAACCCTAAAGTGTTGATAATTCAGAGCACTTCATAGTTATGATTTCGAATTCATAAATAAGTCAAAAACTAAGAAAAACAAACAGAAAACAAATTTTCAAGTACGCCGATGAAAACATCTACTTCATTGAAATTCTCTGTCGATTGTGCGACTCTCTTTTTGATACACAGTAGATGCTGCAGACGTAGAAAAAGAATATTTTCTTTGTGATTTGTTGGAAAGTAATAAAAATACACCTCTCACTAAGGAAACAACTATTTTGTGAGAAAGTCAAACAGATTTCGTTAGAAAAAGTTTCTTCACTTCGTAATAAAATCCAATAACTAAAAGTTCATTTTTTTCTTTCTTATATTATAAACAACTCAATAATATATGGACTACTATATTTTATTTTATGAAAAACCGATGTTTTTGTCAACTCTAAACTCAAATCATCATCATTTTAACATGTTCACGCGTAATACGCGTTATAGTGTTTCATCCCCTTGTCCAAAATTTTCATAATTTTCGTTTTTTGTGATAATGCCTTAGGATAAAAATCGATCGGTCATTTGACATTGTAAAAGCAACACACATACACATACACGAAGGACACATAGATATAAAGTGTAGAAGGACGCAATGTAATGTACATCATATCGAAAAAAAGAAGATATAGGTAAAAGATAATAAATGATCGTCAATTCATCACCTACCTTGAAGACAATAAAATAGAAGAGAGAAGTGTCCTATCTACTATCTCATGTTGACAGCTATACATCGGGAAGTAATTAGTCATGTTTTTCATAAATTGTTATGAATTTTTTCCCACATATAACCGTCTCATAAAATAGAACTTATGATGAACAATACTCGCTATTTATGACTATTTTACTCGGACTTAAATCTTTATGATAGGTGAAACATTGACCCATCTTGACTTCTCAAGCATATTTATTGTCCTTAGTGATAACTGAAATCTCTATCAAATAAGAAAAGATTATCCTAGAAAGTTCATTAAAAATATTTTAGTTAAGCCGACTTTAATCATGATGCGATGAAAATATATTCTTTATTTTATTCTATGGTCAAACATTTTTGCAATCCAATGATCTCTAGGAAATAGTTACTCGTAGAAAAAAAATGTGTGAACGTAATAAATTAGAGAATGTGCCATAGATGGATCGAAAGATGTTTATTATTCTTTTTAATTTCATCTTTATTATCGAGCCACAAGCGTAAGAAATTGATCCTTTTTTTAAATAATAAATTCTATATAGGAGAATAGAGTGGATAGACGCGAAGTACAGTAGAAATGAAAGAACAATCAGAAAGTATTAATCACTCATATTAGATGTAAAACAATTTTGACATTTTTTGAAAAGTTAAATTTTTTAAACTAATTAACATTAAAAAAGTTTCATAACAGAGTCCTATTGAATAGAATGCTTTATCGCTGTGCAATCAAAGAGTCATGCAAGAATCCGTCTATACACATCTGATTCCCATCTCGTCTCATCTAGCATTTTATCAAAATACAACCATCTAAAATACCAATAGACTAATAAAAACTTTTAAAAAACAATTATTACCTGTGTCTGCGTAAGTCCTAATGATGCAGCTAATTCAGCTCGTTCTGGTAATGCTAAATATTGTGTACGTTGAAAACGTTTATTTAATTGTTGCAATTGTAAACTAGAATAAATTGTTCGTGGTTTACGGATTTTTTTTCCTTTTTGTGTCATTTTTTGATGTCCAGATGATAATGGATCGTTATTACCATTCATCAGTTTTTCTAGAAGAAAAAATTGAAGAAATTTTTAGAATTATTCAAATATTCATTGATGCTAGCGATAATATAATCATTATCAGTTTTTTTCGCGTTATTTGAACAGAGGATTGGACAGAATAGAAGCTAGTTGAACCTGTTACCTATTGAAGCAACAAATACTCTTTAACAGTTGAATAATCTGTATAGAAAAAGCGATTCATTCTCCATTTCCATAGAGAAAAAAAACATTCAAAGTATTTTGAATTGTTTTTTATTTTTATTTACAGCCTTTTCAAATCATATAGGCAAAAAAAAACTGTTCTCACGACAGATTTATGTGGTACCAGTAAAATATCCTAAAGTCGAAATAACTAATTATCAATCTCCTATTTTTATTTAGAAAAACATATCATTACTTACCATCAATAATAGAATTTTGCATTGAATAATATGGTTTCATTGATGCTGTATTTGTACATTGTGATGTTGATGATGATGGATAAAGAGGACTCATGGTCACATTAACATTCATATTCAAAGCAGGCACAACGGGAAATGGATGCGAATAATTAAGATTATTTTTTGTAGAATCTCCTGGTATAGTAAACGGTGATGAATTTGATGAATAAGCTGCTGTTGATGAAAAATGATGATGATATGATGAATGATATGTTGGACTACTCGATGATGTAGCAGTAGATATTGAAGCTGTAGTAGAATCATATAATGAATTTGATTTTCCACCAGCACAACTACCCGTAAATGAATATTCATAATGTTGAGCGGATGGTAAATGATTTGAAAACATATTGTACGATAAGATAATCAAAAGATATTTAGAATATTATTAATATTTTTGTCACCATAAGTTTTATATTTTTATCCTTCTAAGAAAATATAATATGTTTCAATTTGTACATCGTATGAATGTGAAGAAAAGAAATATATTTCAATTTTTTTTTTTTTTGTTGAAAACAAGAACAGTAAGAGGTTGACGCCGATGATTGGTTTCAATATGTTTAATTGTGAAAAATTATTTCAATTGGAGGAAGAAATGAATGAAAAAAGAAACGAAATAAAAGCAAAGCAAAAGTCATACATATATTTACTTGTTAGAGAAGATGTTCCATGATTTGATTTATATGTCTGTTCTGTCTGTCTTCTAACGACGAAGATAATTATTGCTATTGAAGAGTTTGATTATTCAAAAAACTAAAATGATCAAATAAACAATTTTCTTTTCTTCTAGAGAGATAATTTCTCCTGATGACTAAACTTGATGGCGTCAAATCTGAATTTTGTTTAGGTGTGAAAATTATCTATAAGTATTTTTAGTATTGTTATGCACATCTAGAAGACTAGTAGAACTATTTTAAGAACGTGTGTATCAAACGTTTTGAACTCACAAAATTGTTTTAAAAAATAGATACGATCACCAGGGCATCACTTGATAATAGTCTGTCTATTTATAGTACGTAGAATTTTGAATCTTTTTTCTATAAATGAATAGTAAAATTATGAGAATTGATCTTAGTTTTTGAAAGTTCATCGATAAAATCCCATAAATATTTAAGAATTTATATCTATTTGAAACTATAGGCAAGAGACGAATGATTGTTAAAATATTCAATAGTTTTTGATTAACATAAACAGTTATCTTTATCAATGAAATAAAATCCAAATGGGATATGTTTTGAGGTAGCAGTAAAATCATATAATAAGATAAATTATTTAATATTATTTTAAATCAAGGTAGAGCACACAATTACATAATCAAATTTCACGGCTTTCACTCTTCTAAATTCATTCGAACATCAATTTCATCTATACATATATATATTGTGCTGTTTTTAATTGTTTCATAGTTTATTGACTCTTAGATTATAATCAACAACATCATTATTATCATCATTGATGAGTATAATGGGATATTTTAAAAATCGTATTTTGTCATTTCTTTTTCGATAAACTAGCTATTACGTAAAAGTACGAAATGAATTAGATAATTAGAAGAAATATGTGCGATTGTCACCTTGTTTTTATTCTACATGCAAGAATTTGAGTTTTTCTACTTATATTTCTATATTATTAGACAAAATGGGCAGAAACAGGTTAATGTGTTGAATGTCATTCTATCAGAGATAATATGATGTCTTTTAGTTGAGAGAGAAAGAGAGAGAGCGAGAAAATTGTGTTAGATCACGATGAGCGGTAATTGGGGATGTTTGTCGTATTCATTGACAACTACAACATTTTTTTCTGTCTCCTGTTGTGTTCATAAATAAATCGAAACGATTTTCCCATACCTATAGACAATACGTTTCGCATTGATTGCACATTACTAACTGTTACTACTATCACTAGAAAGTGAATTCAAAAAAACGTTTTCCAGAAAACGTCAAGGTATGTGGTTACAATAGGAGATAAATATCACCTATGGAATTTTGCTGTATAATGATTCGTAAATATTCACTGGTTAAGGCTTAAAATTAGTTTCAAACTTTTGCAATATGGTCCGTCGGTCTTAGTTAAAAAGCTTTTTCTCTACTCGCCTTTTCTACTATACACAGACGCGTTCTGATTTATAAGTGTTGCGCTCTCATAGAGAAATTTCTTAACCAGTTTCGACAACATACCAACAGCAAAACGTTTTCGATCCTTTGTTAATTTTTCGTCTGCGATTTCGATTTTAAATTTTTATTGCCACCTTGTCGCTTTCTCTCTCTTCGTTATCAGTTATATTCACATTTCATCTTCTTCTCTGTTTGTTAGTGCCGTCATGCACAGTCAGTCGATTTGTTTTTTTAACATTTTCTTGATCGATAGCAATAGCCAAAACAAATTTGAAAAATGATTTCGATAGCTTGACAAGTTGTCGATTAAGAAAGATGTGTATGCAATTTTCGTTATAAATTTGCCAAAGATCTCTAGGAAACGTTACAATTTAGTCTTATAGAAAAAACGTTTGTGGATATAATAAGAGCATTTTTGAGCTTCCTGCAATATTCTGTTATTAAACTGTACTGTACGAACGATTTTAAACGCATCTTTTGTCTTCATCTTGATTTTACTGGTTTTAAAGGGCTCAGAGTAAAAAAACCGTTGAGTAGTGCTGTTTTTTGCATCTTATTTGAATTGTGTTAGAAGTATATCTGCTTGATCTCAAAAGTTCAGATCAATTTTATTCTTGTAGCATTAGTCACGCGCTAGAATAAAAACGATTTGGCATTAGAAGACGAACCAGAGAGAAACATATACTGAACTTTTGTGCATAAGATGTCAATAAAAAAAGATGAGAAGGCAATATTTAAATCAAAAAACCATTCCGTTTGCTTTATAATAAGATTGGATGGGAAGCTGTTAATATCATAACAGTAATAATTATTACATTGTTTAATAACATTAATTCACCATTAACTAACAGTGTTTGAATATCTAATCTACACTGTTGTAATCGAAGTTGAACAGGTTTGAAGAATCAAGAGAAATTTCATTGTTTTGGGGAGTTCGATTCTGGACGTTGATTTACACTGTACATTCTATGAAAAGTTGTGGAACACTCTCGAGAGAGTAAGTCTACTAGCAAAGTCTGAAAGAAAAATAACAGTATAAAATTCAGTTATGTTTACGTTGTTCCTTATAGGAGTGTATGAGGGCAAAACACGAGAGTGATCGAAAATAGAGCCGCCATTATCGACTCTTATTAAGATGACAAGAGTTTACTAGTATAATTTTAAGAAGCGCCGAAGATTCTTATTATATTCCTTTTCCACTGAAAATAAAATATTAGCGGCAAAGCGGGCATAAAAGTTGATATCTTTTTTTGCACGACAACACTTTTTATAAAATTTAAAAAATATCAAAATACTAAAAGACTTATGAAAGAAGTTTATTCAATATGCGTTTTTATGTGATAATTGATCTTTCTACCGAGCCAGAGATACTTTGGGACATCAGATAAAAAACTGAATTAATTTTCTCTATTGAAATGTAAGATAGGCCTCAACTTCTCACACTAAAAGTTCTATAAATAAACAAACAGTAAGTTTTTTCTTAGCATGCTTAAAATAAATATTATTACCTATTTGCTCGTTGTGTTTCTGTTAATTCTTTCCTTTGGACGAAGTTAGTTGAGCGATATTATAATCTTGCTACACCTTTTAGTTCTTGTGGTACTTGTATCAAACAGAGTTACAAATATTGATGGATAAAACGGATCGTGAGGCTAATATGAAATCTTTGAGATGTTCAATAAACTTTTACGATGTTATAACATCTATATATAGATATAAAAAAAGAAAGAAAACAAATCTGTGGTCTATCAATTGATATTTCATGTGGATTTGCTTTGAAACTAGAAATGCAGAGAAGACACATTTGACTTATATATGAGATTAATGTGAAATGAACTCTTTTTTTGCGCTTTAATAGTATTAACGAGAAAATGAAGAGTAATGCACTGGTAGATCTACAGTTATGAAAAGGAGATACTTTCTGAGAAAAATGTACTAAACTGATATAAGACTATCAATAGAAATATCCGTCAAATTCGTTTCGATTCTTGTTACATCTTGCATATCTCAGAGCAGCACTTCGGATTCTGTATTGTATTTAATTTCCTTCAACGATCTACCTCAATCGTTAGCATCTCCTTCGTTAACATCTCTATTTGCTTATAATATATTTCTTCTGTATAATCAATCTGAGATTTAAACGTTCATCGATGAAGTTATTGATTGGTGCGATACAAATCTTGTGAGTTTAAATGTCAGTGGTTATTGTTTTCTACTATTACTGAGTATGATTCTATTATTTACGATACATCTTACACAACTCATCTAACAAACTTAAATAAAGTTCAAAATTTACCCAGCAGATAATTCTTAAAGATTACGTTAAAGACTACGTCTTCCGATTCACTTTTAACGAATTTAAAACTGACATCACTTTCTACATGGAGATCATATTTTTACAAACTATATAATGATAAACGTCCACGAACTACACGTCAGTCAGTAAGAAATAACTCACTATAATCGTATGGGATAAAAGTCTCATTCTTTAAAATCAGCTTCACTATCTTTCATTGTTCAAACTAACGACTGAACTATTTGACAGTTACAGTTGCATATCAGTCAGACTTAAAAGCTTTTAAAACTGTATTAATAAAACAACATCGACATATTGTAAAAAAAGAGAAAATTTTATATTATAAGTAAGTGTCGTTCTTATTTATTGATTTTCCGTACAGACAAAGTACAGATTTACTACCAGCTGTTTATTTTTCGTTTTTTTTATTGTATGTCCCATTAAAATGTGTTTGTTGGTTCTTAGTTTAGTTCTTTAATTCTTCTGTCTTTTTGGTGTTACATTCGCATAAGGCTATCCTTCTTCTAACAGTCATGTTGAGCAAAATAAAACTAACGTGAACTATCGGATAGTCTCTTCTGAATATGAACAGTTTTTCAGGACTTATTATAGGTTTGTTAAATCAAAACACATGATTGTTATGTATCATTCGTCTCATAACACTGATTTACTGGTCGGTTTACTTGGAAATTATGCTGAAATAGGCGTCGTGCTTTGATCACTCGGTCATCGAACAATCTGTCAACTATTCCCAATACTAAGATTACTTGGATGTGTACCTGGTTATGGAACGCCAGCTTATGAACTACTTAAAAACAAGAAATACTGCGTGTAAGTGGTTTCTTCAACATACTCACCTTCACTAATCACCACAGATTATGTCATCGCTTAGAGAGTGGATGGAGGGCTTCTCAAACGGTGCCCATTGGCCTAAGTGGGGTAATATCTCTCAGTGTCACGGTTTCATGAAAAAATTTTCACTGACCTTGTCTAGCTGTTTATCTCAGAATGGCTGTTCTGAGCTGTGACTCTCCGTCGGGGCAGCGTGTCGAATTAGATTGCGTTCAGATAACTAACTTTTATAACTGGTGGGGTTAAACTTGGACCGAGAGCTTTTTTCGTCTGAGAAATTTATTCTTAATCTGTTTAATGGCCGTTTTCATGTCTTTTTAATTATCTGTGTAAGTAATTTTAAAGTCACAGATGCCTAAGCTATGGTACGTTTAAGGCATGAGGCCTCAGATAAAAAATGAGATGATATATCTAAAAATGTTTTGCTACCATGTCAGAGAAGGAAAAACTTGAGAAATTGAGCGTGAGAGTTGAAGTTGATGGCTGAAGAAGGGTGTTTTGGGGATATATAGACAATACCCTCCTTAATTATTAACCTTAATTTCCTCAAAAGAAGTGTAATGGAAAAGGAATAGAATATAAATAATCATATACAGGAAAACATGGTTACAAAAAAGTGTTACGTTATAACTATTCCCAGCAAAGTATTAAGCATTTAGACACCACCCCCGTATGGACTCAAAATTCTGAAACCATTCTATAATCGATTTTGTAGAAAGACTGTAGTTAGTGGTGTAAGAGATACAATGAGCTTGCCCCTTCTCATCATTGCACTAACTTTCTTTTTCTGTCTTTAATAAAGTTTATATCAAAGATGGTGGAGGCAAAAGTCAAAATAAGACAATACGCAGTTTTTTAAGAAAACATTTTGCATCTTTTTTAAAAGGTTCATAACACATCAGCGAAACGTTACTGGAAAAAGCCTGGATTTGTTGATAACTTGAGACGGAGTATTGAAAAAACATAGTTATACCGAAAAGTAAATTTTGATCATATTATCTACGTTTTTCACATATGCTTGATGGGCTCACAAATTGTTTCTTAAAAACACGGGAAATAATTTGTTTTGTCTGCAAAAAGACAAGTTTTTGGAACATTGCTTGACTGTATGAAACACATTGCTTCAAGATGAAAAATGACTCTTCAAGAACAGACATTGCTTCAAGGTATGAAAAGTAAAAATGCTATAAAAGAGGTTTTCGTACGACGAATATATTACTGAGCTGTCTGATAATTTATCGAATTACAGTAAATATTTTTTCAAAACCAAAATAGTATATACTTATGAATAATACTCTTTCAACAAAGTGTGCTTATAGGATGTCATTAATGTTTTTGGATGATAAAACATAAGTACAAATAAATCATGAAGATACTATAGAATTCGTGTTTAAACTGAAATAACGTCTTCTACAGTATGACTTCTAGCTACATAATCATTTTTAAGATATACTTTGCTATAAAAATATGCAGTTACATCACGCAGAGTTGTAACCGGTCTAAAAATAAGAGGCCGGACCGGGCCGGCCGGTCCAAAACAGCGGTTTTGAAAAATTCTCTAGACTGGTTAAAAAACGGCAAAAGACATGCCGATTTTGAAAAAATGTTTATACCAGTGAAAAAACGGCAGAAGTCGGCCGGTTTTCAAAGATTTTCTAGACAGACAAGAGGGCAGAAAAAGTCACTTTCTTTTTAGCGGAGAAGAGGTGATTTCTAAGAATTGAAAACCGGCAAAAAACTGGTCAATCACCGGTCGATCTGAAAATCTTTCTAGACTGGCCTGTCTAAATTTTTACACCGGAATGAATCGGGCCGGCTGGTCTGCCGGCTCGGTTCCAGCTCTGACATCAGGTTTCCTGTAAAAAAATACTAATATGTGACTGTCTGACTCTAATTATTGTTTGTGTATTGTTAGGGTAGCTGTGAAAGACACATAAGACGTTGTTGTACATTGTCGAATTCATTGGGTTCTGTTAAGGTTCAAATAGAATGACTTATAATCATATTCGTGTACCATGTTCAACAATATGGATCAATCATAGAAACAGTAGTATTCGTGATTCATTTCCTGACGCCTTCTAAAGAGAATGATGACTACTAGTCTTAGTACTAAGACAAATTCTGAATTTACTTTTTATATAACCTGTTTTGTGGATAATATACGAGAAGTGAATGAATGAGAGACGAATATATAAAATGAAAAGAACCGTATCCGAACATATGGTTCTAGTTTTCATTAAGTACTAAAATTGAAAACGAAAAAGTAGCTATGTAAACACCTCTAGTTTTCTCGTATTTTCTTTCTTTTTTACTTTTAATTTATATAACAAAAATACAACTAGCACTATAATAGAAATACACAAAAGAAGACGCACACACTCTTCGCTGAAGACATACAAAATATGATGCAAGTAAAAACTTGTATTATATTAATGATTATTATTCCTTTCACACTTAGTTGGCCAATATCATTATATTCTAATGCAAATGGTCGTCGGCATCATTACCGGGATCTATCAGAATCGTCTAACAACAACGATAATAAACGATCTTCTATTCATCCATATCAACATCGGCAAGCACTTGATAAAAATACCACTACGAATCTACCGTCAGTACTAGCAAAGGATGATAGAAAATTATTGACATTAGAACACAAAGAAATAGCAGACCGTTTTACTAATCTTTTCCAGAATATTTTACAACAGTTAGTAACACATTTTCACGAACAATTTCCAAACCTTTTAACAAGTTTTCTCGATAATTGTGTACGAATATCTAACAAAACATTTGAGAACGATCCTGATGATGAAAAGATATTAAATGCCGCGTTTGAGAATTGTACAAAAATAAATTCCAGTATCAATGGTAATTGGACAAATCAATGTGTTACATTTGCTAGAAATGGTGATAGAGAATTAAGACGAGTAAAGACACAAACCTTTAATGCTGAAACGAATTATACAAGTGTATTTGTTTCCTACAGCATTTATAAATGTACTCAATCAAATCTCACAGATGAAAATAGTATAATTGATCAACAACAAGGAAGAAATGTCAAAGTGACAAATGAATCGCATAGTAGTGAAAAGGGCGTTAATCGTAGTTTTCGTCGTAACGCTGATAGACAAAAAGAAGGTATAATAAGTCAACAGAAGTCAAGTCAAAATACAGCCCATGTGCTACAGAAAAAAAAAGGCTAAATAATGATGGATTCATTTGTTGTTGTTGTTGTTGACGTTGACAAATATTGTTATTATGATGGAATAATAAATATTGTTTTATAGAGACATAAAACTTGATGAATAAAATCTAATTTTATTTTCTCTAATTGTATGTATTTCTAGAACCACCATTTTTTTAATAAAGTGAGAAAGAGTGTGAAACGATAGATTTCGGGTAAAAATAGTAACAAGAGGGTGTGTAGTAGTGAAAGAAAGCAAATCATTTTCTTTTCAACGTGTTAATATGTATAAATTCTATAAAAGGCAGCAACCTAAAACCAAAAATGGCTGCAAAAAATTAATTCATTGTTTAGTAGACTCTAGCAAAAAAATTAGTAGTAATTAGAAAAAATTTCTTAAAAATAATGCTTAGCTCTTCTATTTTTAAGAAATTTTTTCTCATGTTGACCTCTTTTAACCTAGAATGTTTATTGTCTTCATTTATAGCTTATTGAAATAAACACATATTTATTAAAACAAATAATATTCATTCACCGTCGTTTTGTTAATGAATCTGACCTTAGACGACGTTGTTTTTTTTTACTAAAAATGAAAAAAAAAGACGACGACGATAAACCGGGTTGTACACCATGAACAAAACAAAAAAAAAAAAAAAAAGAAGAAAATAAGAAAATTTGTGCACATATAACACTGTTGTTAATCAAATTTTCTAATCGAATAAATAACAAAATTGTTGATCACTTCTTAGATGTTGACATAGTAGAGTATGAATTGTTTCGACTTTAACAGAATATAAACTGGATAAAAATAAGAGTATTTTTGAATATAATGTTGGTTCAGTTGATTGATGTTTAAGTGTTTTTAATTCTTTAACATAGACATCATGTAATTCTACAGTTTCACAATGACATGCTAAAATAAAAACAAAAACAATATGATATATTGAGAGAATTCTGATTGATATTATTTAGTTTTATTAATTATAGAACATTCTTCTCTATATAATAGTAAAACAAAAAAAATGTGATTATATTCAACATTACCACTTGTTACAACGAAGTGTACTATTTTCTTATCAGTTCAATCACATTTATTGTATATTTGTGATTTTTTATTTTACATGTATTAATTTTAATTTTTACCTTCTTGAATAGTTTTTATGACTATAATTCGTCTGATATTTTCCATTATTTGTGAATTTACATTTAATCTATAACCTTTTTGTAAAATAGATTTTAAATATAAACCATCTGTTTCTGGTACACAACGATGTTCATTCGAAAATCCATCACTAACTAATGTTGAACAATTAAGAAAATCTAATTCAATTTTAAATTCAATTAAATATGTTAATAATAATCGAACCCAACAATGACATTTAATTTTATTTAACCAATCTTGTTTAATTAAACATTCAGCTATTATCATATTAATTGTTACACTAATATTTGATAACCAATCGAGTATTTTTTGTTTTAAATATTCAACAAGATTTAGAGGTAAATAGATACGTTTTATTGATGTTATTGGTAAAATACTTGTTGTTGAAATAGATAAAATAATTGGTTGTTGTTGTGGTTTCGATACATCACTATCTGATGCTGAATGTCTTAACGATGATCGTTGTTGAATTAGACGTTTCATACATCGTATATAACATCGATTTAATGGTGACGAAATGTTTGTTAAATCACTAATAATATTTAATGGTGATTTTAATTCTGTTTCTCTTGCCGCTGAACATGATCGTTGTAATTGTATTTTCCCTAGATGATGTCTGTCTATAAATGATGAATCATCTTCACTATCTTGATCTTCATCGTCAAATTCTTCGCTGTTATCACTATCAAATTCATTATCACCGGGATATTGATTTTCTCCATCTTCAACAATATCATCTTGTTCAATAGTTATTGTAGGTACAGTTGATTCTGTTGCGGTTTGTTCATTATTTTGTTGACTAGTTGTGGATTCATTCGTGTTATTCTCACTGTTATCATCACCATTGTATATTGATTTGGAATTAGCCAAATTCATACGCTGTCTACCTTCAATTAGAAAAAATGAAGACGTTTATAAATGGCATATTTTACCGAATGATGTTTCATCAAAATAGAGGAGGACAAGGTCAAGTTTTACGGTTGACCGATTTGTGAGAAAACATAGTGGTGTTACGCCTCAAAAATGTGGTTTTCTTCGATAAAGTTATTCTGGAAGCATGAAATTCGCTGCTAATATCTTTGATTCAACATTGTTTAATTCTCGACTATTTTTCACTATTACTATATACTCATTAATTTCAATACGTTACAAACGGACACACTGACTCTCATTCAAAATGTCAACAATGTTGTCTTAAAAAAACACATTCCTACCTGATTAAATTGTAAAAATACAATACATTCTCTATTAAAATATAGATTTTACGTAACATGTAGCAACCTTAATGAAAATAGATGTACTGAGATGAGATGTATGAAATCCATGTTAGATAGAGTGTTGAACAATTATTTCTACTTTCTATTTCTAACAATTTTTTCATCATCTAACAACTATGAATACAGTAAGAAGATACGATTTTCTTCTTTTTCAAATCTTTTTTTCTAAATAAAATATAAACATTTACCTTTCAATATATCTCATGATGAGTCGAACAAACCTTCTCTTTTTTCTCAAAAAACCTTTGAATAAACTTCAAAAAAAAAAAAGAATAATAATAATAATAATTATAATAATAATAAGTGCTTCAAATATATATAGAAATGAAAAAAAAAAAAGGAAAGGGGAAAAATATCATTTTTATGTAAAAACACAACGCATCATAAAAAATAGAAACCGTAAATCGCAGAAAAAAAAATAATAGAAAAGAGAATAATTTGTATTTTTTTTTTTCTTCTTCTCATATATGTTAATAAATGATATATAAAAATAGCCTTCAACAACCTTGAAACAATAGGCACTTACATACACAGGAGGTATATTATGCTGCCATTAGTTGTATGTGTGTGATGAAAATCATAAAACATGCTATTTGAACAACATATATCTATATATCTATATACGTAATCAATTCTTAGGTTTTTCAATCGAAATAAAAATTCAACTCAAGGCTGTGAATACTAAATATTAAAAGATATTGTTAAAAAATGATGAGCATATATATATATAGATGCATAATAAAATCAAGATTGATTTATATATGCTACCATTCATTGAGTAATCTAATCTAGTTATATCGTTTTCTTATGTGCTCAAGTTTCAACTATATATTTTCTAGAATTTTCCGCATATAACCACGAAATCAATCTAATTTTTAAATACTTTTCTTTTCAAATGTGATAGTATTATGGCTAATATCAACATGTAAAATATGACTGCTAATATCTAATTAAAAATCCATAGTAATCATCTTATTTTTTAAATAATTCTCATTTTATGATATATGAGCAAAAAAACTGACTATGCGTATGATGTTGTGGTATCGTATGTTCTACATCACACTATCATGTGGCTTTCCCTCACTATCAGTCATTAGCCATATCAGTTTAATGGTAACATCCGAATAGAAGGTATTGAATCTGACTGTGTATCAAAATCAGATCCGTTTAGATATCTCATTGTCTGAAACTAAATTTGTCTTACATACCTTATGGCATCTATTGTGTAAGCGTCAGTTACGCACTGTTTGTATACAGGTGATGAGTGGGGGAGGGGGCGGAATACAATCTTGCTACTAAAACGTACACACTTTTTTGTTACATCAGAATTTTGCATAAGAGATTAAAAGGTCTTGTATCATATTGACAATGTTCGCAAAAGTAACGATTTAAAAAAAAAGTATAAAATACCTGCGATAAAGTGTAATAGTAAAATATATCAATCTTTTTGGAAAGAAAATCTGTTGATGATACTTAAAAAAGAACCATCAATGAAACTTATCCATATTCAAAATAGGCTAAGAACCAAGTCATTAATCGTTAGCAATCATTTATCTTATAAACATTAGAACGCACATAACTATTCAAGGTCAAGGCTCTATCTATACTCGAAAAAATAAGAAATAAACTGTTTTCTTTTGATATATATATATATATATATATATATATAATAAACATAATCAGAGATAACCGTCTTCATTTATCATCGATAAAATATAGAAATGAAATAGAGCTCATATATTTGGATCACTATATTCAATGTTCATTGGTAATATACCTGTAAATGTTAATTAGTTGTCCAAAAAATAAGTAAACTCCATAAATCCTTAATGATCACATTATTGGGAGCGTTTTACAGCTGATATTTTCGTATGTATGGTACGTATAGAATATTAATAATAAATGCAGTCACAATTGTCAATTTTTGGCATAATTGTATATCGTTTCCTTTCTCTCTACTTGTTTTTCTCTATTAACAATAGACAGAAACGAAGAAAAGAGGAAAAAACAAGCCTCTCTATCATGCTCTTGTACTTGAAGGTGAAGGAGTGTTTTTTTGTCATCGAGATAAAGAGCTTTTTTTTTTCTCATTTTTTTCTTTCTTTTCCATCTGCTACGTGCAACAAACCTTCAAAACAATATTATTACCATTTTCTACGTCACGTATACACTCAAAACAAGTTATTATTACTATTACGGTTTTTTTTTTCTCTCGTCTTCAAAGACACAAAAACAATGTTTCTCTCTTAGAATTTTGTCTTCTTTTTTCCAAACAACAGTAGTAGTTTATATTTTCATCTTCTTCGTTTCTTAAATAACCTTGATAAAATAGAGAAATAATAATAGTAATAATCAAAACTAGATTAGAAAAGATGCCATCATGGTCATATGAAAACAAGGTCTTTTTTTTTTATTACTTTATCCGCAAATATAAACACAGGAAACTAATTTTTAATTTCATAGATGTCCTGTTAGAAAAACAATAAGCATCAAAATAACAGGTCAACAGTATACAAAATAAGAGTGTCATTCAAAAAATAAAAAGAATCAGCTTAATCTATTTCCAAGGATATTGAACAATAATAAATGAACAGACGCTTCATAAAATTTATACTGTAAATTATCTGTTTAATTAAATTGTGTGTATCAACTCAACCGTTTGATCATGCAATATATTGATAGTGAAGATTTGATGATTATTTGATTAATGAACAGTTGTGTCACCCATGGAGAAATATTTTTGATAGCTTAATTGTAAATAGCACTGCGTTTGAAAAAAAAACACAAGAGAAACTTATGCAAATAACGTTAAAGTACTCGTTCTTCTCTCCCCACTTTTACTGTTTAACCTAATCTAAAAAAGTACACAATAGGCTCAGTTTTTCATGTTGATTATGAAATTTCTCCTTTAATTTTTTTTAAACTATAATTTTGACTTCATTTATCTACCCATCTTCCATCAAATAATAAAAAATCATGCTGTTCAATAGAGAATTAAATTCTCTACAAAAATATAGTGTTTGTTTATAGCATTAGATGTTTGGTACAAAAATTTTGTAGAGCAAACATGTTTCTGTCAACCTGTTGATTTCTAAGAATTAGCTGAATGCTAATCTAATGCCATTTTCTAATTCTATTTTTGACTCACATAGGTTAATTCTGTTTGATATCATAAAGATCTGTCTAAGTTACGATGTTTCTTTGAAACTTTAGAAATTAATAAAAATGTTGAAAAAGATTGTGTTACAAGAGTAAACTGATCGTTTTACTAAGAAGAATTGATTTTTCGAGCCGTTTCTTTTTATTAAACGAAAGTTCAAAATGTTCGCTACATTGATATGTATTTGGTTGCGTTTTAAAATGCCGGTAGTACTTGTAAAGAAATGTAGAGGAAGGTATATAAACTAGACATCATTCAAGAAAAAGAAAATTCAGCATAGTAAATAGAATAAAATTTTCTTTATTTCTCATATGCTTTTTAATTAATTTATGTAAGATCTTTGTATTCTGAGTTGTGGGACCGAGGGATTCGAAAATTAATGCTCCACTCTATTCTCATTAGCTTAAATAAAGAGGGAAACAAAGAATTTTGTTGTAGTACGTTCGAAAAAAGTTTAGAAATCCACGAAGACTACCCATTTATTCTAACAAATCTTGGTATCTAAAAGCCTGCCGGTAAAAATAACCATAAATATACAATTCTTTGCAGAATAATTGAGAAACTTCACAAGCTTTCTCCATTGACTGATGTTATGGTATATTTTTATGTGTATGATAACAAAACAACTTTATTTGTATGATACAAATTTTTGGGGGCTTTTATTTTTGAAAAAAATGTACATTTCAAGCTTTTTGAATGATATAGACTTTTTAAATGTACTTTTAATATCTTTCATATCTAACCGTAGCATTTAACATACACATGCTCTCTAGATTTTATATTAAGATACGATTGTGTGCAAGTTCTGTGAATCTTTTTTCTTGTTGACGAAGTTTTATGTTCTCCATACATGTGTTCTGCGAGTTTTTTAAACAAATAATTGAATAAATAACTCAAGCTCTATTATTTAGTGTTTGTTTTTAGACAAAAAAAAAAAAAAATCAAGTTTTTTACTCATCTTATTTTATCAGAAATTGTATTATTTCAAAAAGTGGAAAATATAATTTTTCTTTGGAGACTTTTAAAGATGCTGAAGGTCAAAAAAACAAAAAAGAAAACGAGAATTTCTATTACCGATTTTTTGTTTTTCTGATTCTAATATGTACGAAGGTCATGACATTTTCTGAGAAGTATTTTGAATTATTTTTAAAACGTATAAGAAAGGGCTCACTTCTAGGTCAACTTGTTCTGGACAATTATAGATGGTATCATTCAAACCGGTATCCAATCAAAAACATACAAATAGGTGGATCGGTCAATAGTTTAGCCATCTACAGGACCAATTAAACAGTTTCAGTATTACCAACGATAGTACTACTACTACTGTATATGTAGAATATAAGAGAAATACTTTAACCATTTGTGATTGTATACATAGGAATAATTAATAAAAAAATCAAACGCCTAGAACTGTAAAGAAGAAAAACTAAACATAAGGT